ATTTAAGAATTAAAACGGGTAGTCTCACTTTTGACGAATGTGGTTCTTAAATTTTCAACTTTAAAAAGGTATATTTTCAGATTCATAGCTATTTAAATCTAATGAATTTCAAGCTACAGTCTATGTCACTTGCATGCCTGCAGAACACTTTCTCAGCAGTACTACCTGTGTTAATGTATTAATTCAATTAATTAGTTAAATATAGTTCTTAATAAATGGGCGAACTGCAAAAGACTGATAAATGTAGATCAGTAAATTAAAATCTAAAAAAAGAACAAAAAAATCTTTAAAGCTTTCAGATTTTATATTATGCCCAAAGGGGCATTTTTTTTTTTTTTAATGTTTTGTGTGTGACCTTTATTTATTGAATATCCTGTTCTTTGCATTTAAACCATAAAATTCAATTCAACAGCAATATCACAAAATATTTAAAAGAGCATATCATTAGAATTTCCAATACACAGTTTCGCACGCTGGAGATAGAAATATATATATATATATATATATATTTTTTAGTACAATGTTGCCATTGCTCGCTTTGAAATAGTTGAGTTTCTTAATCAAAAACTTGTAAATGCTTTACAAAATAGGAAATAGATAATCAAAAATTTCCAAATTTGGGTTTTTAGATGCCCATATTAGGGTGGAGACATGCATTATTCAAAATTTGATGGCTCTAGGTACTGTTTTTTTATCACAGTGCGAGAAACATACATACATTTATGCAGATTCTTCATTATTTAATTTCCTTAACCCTCTCAGCGTTACGGCTGGAAAATTCCGTATAGAAGGTTACCTTCTATATTCATTACACATGAAAATTTCTGCTAGCTTTCAATGTATATGATTTGATTTTAGATGTATATTGGAAGAAAAGGAATCAAGGTACAAAATGAATGAGTCATTTTTTAATTAAAATCAAGACAATATCACTTATTCATGACATTTTTAGGAACTTTGAAATTTCAGGTCTAAACCCGTAACGGTCAGAGGTTAAATACAATACAAGGTTCTAATATTTGGTGACAACAATTTAAAAAGTAATTTGTCGTTTATGGTGAATTAATGCAAAATGTAAAATGACATTGAAGTTGCAGTCAAAAAAGTTGTAAAAGTCACTGAAGTTGCAGAATATTAAAAATTCCAAGCTGTTCTTTGGTTTTCATTGCAATTCCTATAAATTTTATATGTTCGAAAACGAAAAGTAGTGGATTTGTATTGTCAGATGTTGGAAGATTTTAAAAGGTTAATAATCTGTGCAGTCTCATTTGAGCATTAATCATTGCATTTATATAAATGAGCTCAGTTTTTAAAAGGTTAATAATTTGTGCAATCCCATTTGAGCATTAATCATTGCATTTATATATATGAGTTCAGTTGAAGATTAATCATTTATCAGTTAACAAAAACAAAATGTGCAAATAAATGAAACAGAGTTAATGCTTTTAAGTCACAATTTAAGCAGATTTTGTTGCATCACTGTTACCAATAAGATCACAAGATAGATAACTGAATGACTAAAGTACGCTCTACATCAGCTGCACCAAATATATACAGTACAAAATCCGTAATCCAGACTCGTCTGGACTTCGGCGATTCCGGATTATAGATCATCAATTTAAATCTGGTAAGATGGCATACAGAAATTATACAATTAAAAATATGAAACCATAATTTATGAAATAAACTGAAATTATGATCTAAAGGCTATCAAAATTTACAAAAAAAACTTAATATTTATTTGTTTACTTTATTAAACATTTCTTTCAATGTAAGTTGTTTCAGTTGATTCGTTTTTTGTGCTAATACTTTCTCTTTAATTCTATAAACATACATAATTTCTTGTTCAGTTACAAAGTTACACTGTTCAAGTCCTGTAATTGCTTGTCGAGAATACCGACTAACGTGTCAATCGAAATGTTTTCGTTTTCAATAACCTCTCTGTTACTTTCGTCACTATCGGAAGTGCGCATGAGTAATTGCTTTACACGCGCATTAGATGCGCATGCATAAGTTGTGGCTTTGAGGTCCGAATTATAGATCATTCCGGATAATGGACATCTGGATTATGGACTTTGTACTGTATATATATAACATACTAAGTGTGCAATCATGAATACGGTACTTTTAACTTCTGGCTGTAGACATGGCTGGGTGGAAGAGGCAGAAATAAGATGTTGGCAAAACTAATTTCAGCAAATCATTATCTTTATTTGTAGGCATATCAAAAATTATTTCTTGTAGACAATACTCTTTAATCATAGCAATTATGATAATTTCTTACATGCACAGATAAAAAGCTACAATGTCATTTCAGGCAGGGAAGCATATGCGGCGCAGAGATGTTTGCATGGCAGAAATCAGGGGAAAAAAGGAAGCTTAGTGCTTGTGATTCAGTATTTATACTTCGTAGGTGTAGAGAGTATTTTAAGCTATGATTGGTCAGTATTAGTTTTAGTTACCTTTTTCAAGCAGTGTTATGTAATTTGGGAGAACTGATGAATTTAGGGGGAGAGCACCAAATTTAAAATGTTAATTTTTAGGTCACCAATTATTTTAAAAGCAGCCATCATATTTTGTTATATCGTACATCTTGGTTTAATGAGCTCAGTTTTATATATAAATCTTTTATATGTTTGCACATTTTTTTAAAATTTTTTTAAAAATTATTTTAGCTTTTTTTAGGATTTAAATTTGCTTTTTACTTTTTATACATGTTTGTTAAAAATTAAATTTAAATTTGTTTAAATTTTTATATATATATATACATTGGTAAATTGTGCATTTTTTGCTTTAAAAATGATTGAATTGTATTGGTCTTATTTTCTGGCAAAAGTTTTTATGCCTTTAGTTAATCTGCATGTAATATTTGTAGAATTATCAACAATTTAAAAGTTGTTTAAGTGTGGCTAAGCCTAATTTTTTTACCTTAGCAGCCATATTTGTTTACATTTGAAACTTAGCAGAATAGTGAATTCATTCTTTCTGCACCTTCATTGTCTTTTTGCTGAATGGGACCAAAAGGAAACCTTTAGTTTTGTGCACCAAAAAATCTGCCTCCTTGCCTGTTCTCTGAGTTGCTTGTTTTCACATAGAAACTGTAATTTTAATTGTAAAAATTTATTATTTTTTTAAGTTGTTTTAACTGTATTTGGTGTTTTATTTCTTTCTATATCTTTCAATTTTTAGTGAAGATATTTTGAGTTTTTATGTATTTTTGCCTTGCCGCAAAGTAAAAACTGAATTAATTGAATGAGAATATATCTCTAATGAAATTCGAGGAAATAAATTAAATGAAATGTAAGAAAAAATGCGTATAATTTAATATTCCGTACAAGGAAATCGTGTGGTGTACACATCAGTTTTTAAAAATATAATACTGATGCACTTTTAGTATCAGCCAAAAATGACAAAAACTTAACATTGTTTTTGCTTCTTAATATCTTATGGTATCTTATGGCCTTTACACTTGATCACTTCATTTAATATTTTAGGCATTGATTTCATAAGTTTTTTTTTTTTTTTTTTTTTTTTGTTGTTTTGTTGGTTGTTGTAATTTTTGGACTTATTTTATACGATTTTTCTCTACTGACAAAACTTTCTTCTTTCTACTCACCCATGATATGCTGCAGATCACATTACTGTTCTTGCAGTTTCTGGACTTACACGCATTCCATATAATTCACAAATTTCTGCAACAAATTTAGAAGCACCCAGTCTTGGATTCTTTTTAATATTCCTTAGTATAAAATGTTTCATTCCATTAGATAACTTAGATGGTATTCCAGGTCTTTGTCTGTTTTGAATACGATTTGTTTCTTATAATTCTTAATAATATCAAAAACTGTAGAATTACTTAAATTGCGTAAATAGGCCATTTTTCTAACAGATTCCCCTTTCTTTTGATGCAAACCAATAACTTATCTGTGAGTTTCAAACTATGTTTCCATTACAAAAAAGCATTAAAATAAATATTTTCTAAAAAGAAAATTCAAATTGTAAATGAAGATGATTTTTAGATTTTTGTCTAGCTTCTTTATCCATACTAATTCCAAAAAATTTCGTTTTGTATTTATTGCAGATGAATTTATTTAGAAATTGTGAAATCTGATTAATTTTGTGGTATATTGTTCCCCCATTTCAGCATAAAATGCTATTTTTTAAATTTACTATTTAATTTTTTCAAATTTATTTAGTACAAAGAGAGCTGAGAAAATATGTATTCAAAGGGAAAATATTGTTCATTATTTTATTTCAAAGCTTTTCTCCTATTACTTAAACATTTAAAAAAAAAAAAAATGTAGGGGCCGATCATTTTTATAAGATGCTGTATGTCTCCTGGACACGAAATATCATTGCAAGGAGGTTAGGTGAGATTAATTTTCTGTCAGTACATTACAGTGTCTGCTACTAATTCCTTGGCATTCATAGTAATGCTTACACTGTTTTTGCAGCTATAAAGAAATATCTCAGATTAGGGCTGAATCAGGTTTGTTATGAGTCACAGTTTTTGCTTTCCTTGATTAATCAGAAAATTTGAGAGGAAGCCTGAAGGTCAACCTCAAAGTTTTTAAGAAGTTTTGAGTTAAGAGGAAGACCAGTGCCTTTCAGTCCATGTAATTGTGAAGCAGCATATTTCATCTTTCAATAAGATAATGCCTGTTTGCATACAGCAAACATATTACAGAATATTTGTTTAGGGTCATAAAACCTTCCTTAGCTTCAGGTCTCTGTCTAAATACATATGCAATATGTTAGGACATAGCGTACAGCTTCTTGCAACTTGCATAAATTTTCTGAGTAAGTACAGAATATTTATTGGGAAATTCTATAGGACAGCATTTGACATTTATGCGAGATCATGCTAGACTGAATATCCTCATTAAGTTTTAAATCAGGATTTAACAGTTACTTCTACTTAAACTTCTACTGCAAAACTTTATATTTAAATGTGAGTAATTCATTTTAAAAACTAAATAGAATATTATTTTTTATATTAGGATATGCCTACCACCTCTGCCGTTTTTAATGGTATTTTATAATCATCAGTCTGAACCAGAATTTTATGACTGTACGTGCACATCTGGCAATACCATGTTGGGATTTCAGCTACACAGAGGATTCACTTCATTGTCTGTAGCAAAGGTTTGCTTTTATTAGAATGATTTTGTTTTAGTAATTTTGTAATGATGTGCACATATATGCATAAGCACAGTATGTCAAATGTGGCACAGTCTTGCCAATAAAATGAAATAAATTATTTGTTTTTGTTAAATAATTAATATTTTATTACTTTAATTTCTTTTAATAATTATCTGTATTTTCTGTGAATACTTTCTTTTTTTCAGATATATTATTTCTTTATTATTGTTGTTAACTTTTTTTAAATTTTACTGATTTTTAGTATTTAATTAAGTTTTATTTTGTTTTCTACTGTTATTTTTCTGAATTTCTCGTAATAACAGCATTTTTCATGTAGATAAACTAAAGAATTGCTAAAGTATAGTTTGAACATTTGGTTAATACTTTGTATTTTTTAATTTTAAATTTTGCTTTTTTCTCGGTGAAACTTGTTATAATTTTCTTTAATGGGCTGGTGTATATGCTACATATATTAGAAGAAACTGTTTGGAAACATATTGCTGTGTGTTGACATAGCAATATGTTTCATTGCTGTGTGTTGACATAGGGATTAATATATCTTGCATTTCTAAGCTTTCTCTCTTTATAGAATTACCAAATTATGTAGAGAATTTTAGATATAGATGGTGCTATGTGCAGAGAATGTTTAATTATGTTTTGATTAGAGAGAAAAAAACACTGCCCTGTAATTACAGGAACACCAGCTGCTCCTCTTTAAATAAATGCTTAATTTTTGTATATGAATCAAGCTTCAGAAGCTATTGCCATGTCACTTATTCACAAATTATGTGGTTTACTATTAAGCTAGAACCTACTTTGAGAATACACTGACTACCAATAAGTATTTGGCTACCTATGCAAATGACCATATCTGCGGTCCTAAGGTACGTCACGGACTCTGCCGGTATATATCGTGTAGGAAACAACATCGGCTTTATTCGCATGCAAGATGCCTCGCAGTTCAGAGCTCTCTGATTTCAAGAAAGGTATAATTATCGGGTATCACAAATGTGTCCGATCCTTAAGGGACATATCTAGCGATCTGAAGTACCCAAAATCGACAGTCGCCTATGTGATTAAGAAGTGCAAGATGAGCGGTGATTGTCGAATGTGCCCCGAGTCGGCAGACCAACGAAACTGGGTGAGATAGGACAGACGGTGCTGTTCAGAGAAATTCGGAAGAACCGCACCCAACCGATGGCCCTCATCCACGAGGGTTAACAGGCATCAGGAGTATTGTTTCAATGAATACCACTGTAAGGAAGCACACTCCTTGGTTTTCAGGTCGTGCTGCTGCCCATAAGCCTTTGATCACAAAGTCCAACCGCGCTGCTGGTTAAGTGGTGCAAAGCACAGCGAAATGGACCGTAGATCAGTGGAAACGGGTTCTTTTGGAGTGACGAATCAAGGTTCACCCTTTACCGTTCGGATGGCGGGCGCGCGTCTACCTGGGACGTTCCTGACCAGAATGCCTGCCAACACTTAAGTTCGGCGGAGGTGTGGAATTATGGTCTTGGGGTTTTCTCCTGGTCGGCTGGAATCTTGGTCCCCATTTAATGGTAAGCTCAACTCCGATGCCTACTGCAATTTTGGATGACAATGTGCTTCCTACGTGTGGCAAGTTAGGGTTTGACCCCTGTACTTCGGACGGACAACCAGTGTCATGTTTCGAAATAACCAAGACTTGGTATGGTGCCAATGGAGTTCATCAAATGGAACTGGCCCTCCCAGAGTCCAGACCTGAACCCTATCGAAACCTCTGGGACGAGTTGCATCGTCGAATTCAGGGGTCACTACCGTGCAAAATCGGGTGAAGGAACTTATGTCTTTCCAAAGCCGGGGTGAAGAAAAATATCACTAGCTGTCATACAAAGACTTGTGGAAAGTGTGCCCCGGATGGTCCACGCTGTAATTACCTCTTGTGGAGGCTCTACCAACTATTGATTTTGAATAAAGTTAGTTTTTCTTTTCTATCACAGGTGTCCAAATACTTATTGGTAGACAGTATATAACAAGAATTTTGCAATCTATGAAACAATACTTTTTAATTTGGGGCAGTATTTTGCTTTAGGGTTTTAGGAATCTAAATTTTTAGTATTATTTGTTAATAAGGATAAATGATTTGATATTCATGTAATACTTTTTAGGTACCTGTACTAGATACAAAAACTATTACTGTTGGTCTGGATATGATTCAGGATTGCATTAATTTCATTGAAGCTGTTAGTAATATTAAACAATGGTAAGTTTTGCATTATGGTTTTCTGTATTTCAGAACAGTATTATTTAATTATATAAAATTATTCTGAAGGTAATATGTTCTAGTTGATTGAATGTGTTTTTGTGGCAATATCTCTCATTAAAACTCTCATAGTCAGTCTGCAAAATTTTAAACTGCTGATCTTAGCAAACTTCATATGCAGGCTGTATGATGAAAGTGTTGTCAAATTGATACAAGCATAAACTGTTATACGGTCATCCCTCGCTACTTCGCGGTTCATTTATTGCGGCCTCAGTACATCACGGATTGTTCAAAAACATTCATCAAAAATTCAAAATTGAGGAATTATGGTGTGAAAGTTGCCTGCATGCCAGCAGAGGACAGGGAATGCCCACACAATTCAGAATCTTTGTCTCTGGCTGGCTAACATCCCACCATTTGATATCCCTCCCGACTCTGAAATCTCACAAGCTGATTGGCCCTAGACATTTCCCCCACCTTCACTCTCATACCCGGCAAAGACAACCTCGCTCATTTAAATCAATGTTTGAGGGAAGTGAAGACACTGATCGAATGCCATTCAAACCCACTAACCGACGCGGAACTCGTTGAAATAACGAGATCCGCAAGTGAATAAGAAGAGGAAGTAGCTGACGACAACGAAGCTGAAGAACGTGGCCTTACCTTGGAAAATCTGCAAGAGAATTTAGTAAACATATTGATACTGTAATGGCGTTGCACAGGGGCATCTTTGCTCAGATTAGAAAAAACAACTGTCACAACTCCCCATCACGATGTTCCTTGTGTGCCGAAAACGTTCTGTAGAAGCTCCTCCTGCAGCTACCAAAGCTGCCCGGGATGATCCAGCACCCCTAGCACCTGACAATGAGACATCATTCTGAGGAACAGTAAAGCTCTCATTAACCTGCGCAGTAAATCATCTTTATCTTCTTCACCTCCATTGTACTGCACAGATGCTTCATCGGCATTTATAAAGATCAAGCGAAGAGAAACTATTGTCAGAGATGAGTTATATAACTAGTTATAAAAGAAAAGTTGCTATAAGAATAAGAGTTCTAAAAACATATTTACAGTATGTACACTTTAGTTACATTTATATATGTTACACATATACATATTTATACATTATTTTATGTATGTTATTTATACTATTAATATTTTATTTATATGTTTTAAACTATTCTTTAATGTTCTAATGATAACATATGCGCATTGTTTCATATACATTTATTGATATTATACATACACAAAAAATGTATGTATGTTAAAAATGAGAGGGTGACACCACTTCGTGTTTTTTTACTTATCGTGGCCGTTTCTGGTCACTATTAACCACGATAACCGAGGGATGATTGTATTCTGGATGAGAGTTACACGTCAAAATTCAAGGTAATGAAGCTTTATAAGTAAAGAATTAAAATAAATGCAAAATTTAATTTTTTATAAGTTATGCAATATTGTGCAGTTTAATTCTGAGGATTATTGAGGATACAACAGCGTAGAAATGCTGTGATTATTACACATGACTGAACTGATACATACATAAATTTCATTCAGTTAAAAATAAGTGTTAGTTATTGAGAAGTTAATAAATACCTGTGAATTACTGTATCATAAAATTCAGCAACTGAAACTTACAGAAATGTATTAATATCAGATTTTGCACAAAAGTTAGAAAAAATTATGCATAATGAAGATTTCTTTAAAAAGTAGTATGTTTTTGAGTGACTTAAACTAACGTTTCTCAAACCTTTTTCTAATAGAAAATTGGAATGTTCTGTAGACCATTTCATTCTTTTCCTTTTCAAAAAGTAATTTGTTTAAAATATTATATTTTTAGTACTTACAGTATACTTATATTTTTAAAATGCAAATAATTTAAGTTAATTTAATTTATATTGGTACTAATCAGATAAGTTAATAAAAGAAAAGTTATACAGTCAAAAGTCGTTAATTCGGACACCCGTAATCCGGACCTCAAAGCTACAAACTTTCTGCGCATGCTTCGCGTTGACATAACATAACACCTTTAGGGCTGTGAATTTGCTTGTGCGCGTGCACAAAATATGTTTACGAATGCGCGTTTAATGTATAACGGACGGTATAAGCTAAGCTAAAATTATCTGATTATCTATTTCAGTTAATGTTGCAGATTGCGTTGTTCCTTAATCTTCATATTGGATCCGGCTTATTATTTTTTGCAGACTGTTAGGCAATTTTATAAAAGTAAGCTTGAACTTTCGATTATGTCAAATAGAATTTCCAATATATATTTACTAATATGTAAAGGATCTACAAAGTGAAAGTATGTTTCGGAGTCCATTAAACAAAAAGTGGAATTGCTTCAAAAAATGGATAAAGGCATATCCTTTGTTTATCTAAACTTTGTTTATCTTTAACGCTGCAGCGCGCAATGAATTGGAAGTTGATCTGTCAGCACTATCCTTATCTTTAGGGCAGATGTTTTTATTTTATTTGACTCATAATTGCTTACTAAATGTAGCATTTCATCTCATGATGTACTCCATCTTTGATATAATTTAAATCAAATTCCACTTCATTATAATTCGCTTACGATAGTGAAGAAAGTGACAGAGAGGTTTTTGAAAACGGAAAAAAAATTTCGATTGACAAATTAGTTCGGTATTCTTCGACACAGCAATTATAGGACTTGAACAGCCGAACTTTGTAACTGAACAAGAAATTATGTCTGTTTATAGAATTAAAGAGAATGTATTATCACATAAAAAACGAAGCAACTTAAACAACTTACATTGAAAGAAATGTTTAATAAAGTAAACAAATAAATATTAAGCTTTTTTTTCGTAAATTTTGATATCCTTTAGATCATAATTGTTCTTTATTTCGTAAATTACGGTTTCATATTTTTAATTTTATAATTTCTGCATGCCATTTTACCAGATTTAAACTGATAATCTATAATCCGGAATCGCCGAAGTCCCGACGAGTCCAGATTAAATGGTTTAAAATTAATGTTAGTACTCTATAAGGTTCTAGCTAAATTGAGTGTTCTTAGCAACTACAATCTTGGAGAAGATTGTAGCGACTATTCGCTGGTCTTCTGAAAACTATACAAATAAAGTCCAAAGAAAGGTTAAAATACCCTTTTATTTAACTCTGAGAACATTTTATAGCTGGTCCTTCTTGGGCTTACAGAAAGCCTCAACTTGGGCTTGAACAGACAATAAGAAACTAAACTGTATCTAACTGAAATTTAGACGGAGCTTTACAGAAATAGCTAACTGAATTGGCTCATTGGTGAATACTAACATTCACATAAGAATACGGCCACACATAGTAAGATTGGCTTAAAGCAATGCCGTGGTCAGAAGGTAGAACATGCTGTACTGAGAACTTCTGAGCTCTTCTACTGAATTGAATGAAACTTCTCATTAAATACTGGTTCTTCTTTATAGGTGGACACAAGAGAATAAAGGAAAGTGTTTTAAATTAAAAACAACTATTAAGAAATTAAAATAAACCTCTACAACTCATAGTAATGAGAAAAATCAGCCTGCTAATTTTTGCGCAGGCTGTTTCATGTTTGGATGTATGTCATTAAGTGTGAAATCGACACATACATCAAGTTGATTTTAAGCCTTTGTTTTTATTTGACTTAATAAGCTTTCTGCTTGGATTTTTTTTAAAATTTCCGTTGTCATTTAAGAGTTCAATTAAATGTTTTTTTTTTTATTTAATGAGAGTTATTATTTTCAAAAGTGCAATGGAAAGGATTAAAAACCCGGGATATTCATTATATTTACCACTTTCAAAATAAGTTTCAAACTGTGACCTCAATATTTCGAGATGCTATTCATAATTCTTTTTCAGTAACAATATAATTATTTAATAAAAAAGATTCTAAGGTCGGAAAGGGGGAAAAATTCTCTGTTTTACACAACTAATCTGCAAACCAAATTTCCTTTAATTTCTCATGGGCATTGAGAATGGTAAAAGAATTACCTCATAGACAGAAATTTAGTTTGGAGAATACATTAAATTTTGACAAATATATACCAGTGTACTTAGCCACATGTCAGCAACAAGATTTCATTTAAAATAACAGGACATTTTTGCAAATTTAGGCGGACCACAAGTGCATGCTTCCAGGACCACATTTTGAGAAATGCTGGCATAAGAGATTCTAAGATGTGCCTGAAGAAGTGAGGGATAACACCAGAAATGAATAGCCAAAAAAAGTGATGGGCATAAAGTGGGATATTGTGATAATCGTTGGAGATCTCTCTGGGATTCTAGGGCCCACCAGTGGCCAAGCAATTAAGTCGCTGAACACTGGTAGTTCGGTCCGAGGTTTGAATCCCGCGAACAGGCTGGCTGCATGGGAGGTTTCGTGGTTTTCCCCATGTGCAATGTGTATATGAGCCAGTTTCCCTTAGAAAGTCCTCCACAAAGGCATTCCTCCCCTTAGGCAGATAGCCCTCGAGGCTTTGCCATAATCACACACACACTATGGGATTCTAGTTGCCCAGATCACATTAAATATTCTCACTGCATGATTCTACTTAAATCAACATAATACACAATAAAATTTAATCTTTTATTTCAGGATCAGATATGCATTCCATCCCTCGACAGCCAGTCTCTATTCTCCCTCTGCGCTTCTATAAAAATTTCTCCTTAGGTTTAGCATATTTATCGGCAAACACGTGGGGACGCAGTGCGCACTTCTTATCACTATTACCACAGTATAGTCTGGTAAAGATTAAGTATGGGGTTCATAACTGAAGAGTTATGAACTTTATACTTAATCTTTTATTAGACCATGTCATCATATAAAGATTAATTAGAAAAAAGCTGCCTAATTTTTAATTGAAGTACTATTCATGAGAGAGATTTCAGCAAAGTTTCTGCCTCTCACTCAATCATAATAAGAAATTGTGAAAAATGTTTTTAGGGTGGGGGAAGAAGACAATTATCACCTAATTAGGTTATTTTCCTAATACCCTCTGAATTCAGGCTTGCTTTTTTTTTTTACTTTGCCGAAGAGAGAATGATTTAAGTTAAATTTGGTTTCAAGAATTTCATAACTATCCCATCAAAAAAGCATTATGCTCAATTTATAAAAATACAGTTTCCAGAATTAGGTAAGAATACCTAATAATTCAAATATCAAAATGTCTTGAATTTTCTTCTGATGCTTATTAAATGGAAGACATTCAAACAAAACTGTATTCATTTGAAATTGAGGAAATTATGGAACTGTAATTGTAATTATCTGCTGCAATCCTTTGGTATAGTTCATGAACATCAATCCAGTTTTCAGATGTATAAAATAGCATTCAATGAAGTAACATTAAAAAGAAACAACATTGCATAAGAGCAGTAGTACATCAATTCAGTGAGCACATCATAAAATTCAAAAACTCAACCATTACATCATTTTTAAATGTGTTAAAGTTAATTCATGTAATGTTTAATAAATAGCTTGTGCATTTTATTTGAAAAATTTAAATAGTTTCTATTCAGGACATCCTGACATCAGACTTTTGATATTCATGGTGATATTACGAAATCCTTAAAATGTTGATGTGAATTTCTTGTCCTTTATAGAAATCTAGGCATTGGTTGTCTCTGTTTCATAGCATCTACTGATTCATCAGTAGCATCTGAAGTATGATCTCTTTCAGCATTCCGTAATTCATCATCCCAATTAACAAGATGAAACAATTGCATTAACTTCTATTTACAGTTGAATAGTTGGATATGTTATTCAGCAGCTCCTGAATTTTTTCAGTTGTTAATGATTGTCTAAAGATGGTAATAGTTCATACAGAAAATACCCAGGTTTATAACCATACAGATATGCTACTGAATATATGTTTTTGAATATGTTTGGATGCACACTTCTTTCGGGCAATAATAATGTTGTGCAATTCTTTATCGTGTACTTGAAAGCCATGTAAGCTTTTTCAGTAGAAATATAAAATAATTTGTATTTGTCTCATACTTTATAGGGCTTGTAACATTTATTCACATTTTAGTGCTACAGCATGTTCTTTAAATGGAGAACAGTTAAGAACATTTTTCACTTCAGTCCATGAACTGTTGTACAGTTTCATAATCAAATACACAAAGTTGTTCTGCCCAGCTTGCAATTCGCAATCTTCTGAGCTTCCAGATAAATTAATGCAGAACAATTAGTTACAAGAGTAAATATTAGATAGATTAAAAATGGGAAAACATTATTTCTCAACCTTACAGCAGTTATTGATTCCAGTGTGCTGATGTGATATTTCTCTTTCTCAGAATTTGTGCCTTGATTAACACAGAGCACTAATCAATAGTGCATATTAGATCTGACTCTCAGAAATAGCATGCCAGTCCCACTGAATTTGCATCTGACTGCAACTGTGTTTCATCTCGGGTTCAAATAACTTTAATACTTTTTACTTTAATATCCATTATTGCCTCAGTTTTTATATCACCAAAATTAACACTTTAAGTTATTACAATCTTAACTAAAGCGGTTGAACAAGTCATGTTAACTAATGGGGGGCTGCACTTATTATCTTATTATTAGGACCTCTCTTTGTTTTGTAACTTTCTTTCGTAAAATAGTGCAAGGTTTTAGTCTTTTTGGTTTCAAATAAGCATTTTCACCTGCAGGTTTATTGTGATTTGGATCTCTAGATAAAATGCTTTTTATCAAATATTTCTTCTTAACATGCTCATTCATTGTCTTTGATACTGATGATGTGTTTTGGATGAAAGGTCTTGATCTGTGGTTCAATCTATACTTGTCTGTTTGTTTGTTATGTACTTCATCTTCACTGACATATTTCGTGCTGGTTTTAATACTTTCACAATTTTCTAATTATTCAGCAAGATTTTTTTTTCATTCACAAATTTAGACCAGTCATCACTAAAATGGTCTCTAATTGCAAAAGAAAATCTTCTTTTAAGTTGACCCATTATGAATAATTCCTTTAAATAACCAAATTGTTTTATTTTTAGTCCTGAAATCATACTTCAAAGTAATTACCCAATTCAAACACAAAATCTTACCATGAATTACTTTGATGACCTCAGAGAATGTTTGATTGAATATTTCTAGACTTAATTTAAATCTTTTAAGAAATGAATTCTTGATTATTTATAATCATTTAATTTTTCTTCCAGTTCAAAGGCCTTTGAATTTGTTACCTAATAACTTAACAAACCAAAAATCAATGATACTGCTATCATCATAGATATTTGGTCTTCAAGCTTATCTCTCAAAATTATTAAATAAAACCTGATCTTTTCTTTTAAATCAAGATTATGCATTAATTTCTGAAATTCATGTCAAGTGATTATAGTATTTTTAAAATTCAAATGAGTTTCAATCTCATTAATAACATTATTATTTTTAATTTCAATTTTTCTATCTCAAAAATTCTGATTTTCTTGCACTCTTCCATTTCTTAGGCTATTTTGCATGCTTCCATTTGTTGAATTTTCTCACATTCTTCCAATTCTCAAACTGTCCTTTTTTTCTTTTTTTTTTTTTTTTCCTTAATCCTTTGTTATTGATGCTATTCAACATATTTCAAGGAATTTCTCATCATATTAATTATTCTGTTATATCAGCTTTTCACAATTTCTCCTAATTCATGAGCAAGGAAAAACATTTTTACTGGCACAAATAATTTGATAGACTATGATAAAAATTTCAAATGAATATAAACAAATACTTCTAACTCTTGAATTGAGTAAGAAAGCGTATTATTCTTCATAATTAATATAAAACAATTTATTTCACATGTCTCTTCTAATTCATGCATATTTTAGTGAGTTTATTGCTTCATTATGCTCACTTACATAAAATCAAAACAAATCTTAAAGACTTCTTCTAATGTCTCACTTCTAAATGTATTGCAAACATCAATTGAATTTCCAAATATAAAAATCCTAAATAATGATGAATAAAACAAAATTTATTGATATTACATTGCATACTAAACAGCATCAGTAAAATATTGCATTGCTTCCATATATATCATAAAACTCTAAATTTTAACTCTTATATCATTAACAATTAATTTGTATAATGAATCATAAATAATGATGAACAGCTCATGCATTTTATTTGGTACATTTAAATATCCTGGAGATCATGAATCCTTTTGTTGTACTTAACTATTCCTGTAAAATACATCCAATGAAGCAAATTGATACATCTGATATTGTTCTGCATTGTTAGATATGATCAACCCATTGTTTGCTGTATTAAACTGGTTTATCCCTCTTATTGAGGATACGGGAAAATTTCTCATTCATATCCTTATTTCATATTGATCAAAATACTACTTCACCATATATTAATTCGTGAATCATCCAGATATATTTAACCAGTTTCAGTCAACTGCCACATACACAGTTATGTAGTTACATTAAGTAGAAACTCCTCTCTCATCTGCAAAGGGTTAAAAATTTTGGAATAATACATTTTTATAATACAAACATTATTTTTTTAGACTTTCTGTTTATCATGAAACTAGCTGAGTTATTATATAACGTAAGGTCATTTGTTTCAAAATGCCTACTTAGTGAAGAACTAACCTGAAAGTTTTCTTAGGCTAACTAATTATATATTAATATATTCCGTAAAGATACTTAAGCTGAAGAGTTTGTAATGAATGCTTTCTAAAGTTTTATATTTCCAAAATAAACATTAAAAAGAAACATACAAAATAACTTTAAAGAACATTCTCCATAACCATAACATCTCAAAATCAAATATTCTCAACTGATGCCAAATCCAGATTAAACAAATAAGTAAGTAATAATCAGAGTTAAACAAACCAATAGTAAATAACATCAGCATTGTCAAATATTAAAAATTAATTACTCTTTTGTAAGCAAATACAATCAATTTGTTCCAAAAATCATTGTAAAATTATTAAAAAAGTGAAAGCAATCTGTGTATATGAAAAGAGATCCTTTCATTTTATATTTGTTTTATACACGTTAAAAAGGGGAGTATTTCCTGCGTTAAATTTCAATCCTAATCCTCAGAATTTTTTGGCCAACAAGCTTTACTATTAAAAGTCATCTATATTTCTACTGACAAACTTTTAGTTTTTTTAATCTTCTTAAAACTATAGTGAAATATAAGAACTAAGAATTGGTATGGCATGTATATTTTTGTATCTTTGCTATTTAATTACATACAGTTTGCTGAAGGAATTAAGTGATTGTAAAATTATATGTTAAATAAAATTGCAATTAATATCCAATTATTGTACATTTTGTTCCAAAAAGGAACCTTCAGTATGAAGAAATACATAGAAGGAACAAATTTGGGGCTGCAATGTTCCCATTTTTAGCAAGTTGAGTATGCTTTCTGGCCTAATATTTAGACCATTTGGATTTACTATTATTACTACTATTTATTTACTGATTTATTAAGTATCTGAAATTAATGAAATACTTATTTTTTATCTTTCATGAAATATCATGCTAGATTTTAATCAATAATTTAGTAAGAATTCTTATCAATCATTCCATTCCTTAGCAATAATATGCATCCTTATGGGAGTCTTATCATAACCAGTTCTGATGATATACCTAAAGTGCCACATCAGCCTGTAAATCGAGAGGTAATATTTGCGTAATTTTGTATGATCAATCTTCTTTTTTTATTGTCTAATTTCGGATGATAAGTTATTCATGATAACAAAGCATAGTTTCATTGCTTGTCATATAGATTTCTTTCTGCTTCGGTGAATATTAAAATTAAAAATGATTATATTATATCAGGATATAATGAGTAGCATATTATAATTCTCTGTTTTATATATTTACAATCCTATACACAAGCTATGAAAAATATATCTGCAGATTTTCTCATGTATGGTTATTTATAAGATGGGACAATATTTTTGAGTACTTAAAGATATTATTATAAGCATAAAGTCAGAATATGTCAAACTCTAGCAACCATGCACATAAATATTTGTCAGGCAACCATGCTCATAACAATTTAACAATCAAGCAATGTCAGCATTTGCATGTGCTTTCTTTTTGCTGTATTCCATGTTCCAAGGGTTTTTAGAGACAAATCATGATATTTTTTACCTTCAGCTCAATTCTAAAATATCACTTGTAAAGTTTGTCAGCAATGGAAGAAACTAGGTTAAAAATATCTGCAGGAGTACAGCATTTTGTCAAAAAATTGCCAAGAGGAACAAAGAGATGCCTTTAGTAGATAACCAGTGCAAAATGCCAAGATAGTGCTAATCCCCCCTTTTTTTTTTAGAGAAAAGAAATTGCTTTCTAACAGAGAAAAGAGCAGCACTAAAATATTAGAGGGGAATTTTGCAAAAGATATAACCATTTAATTTTTTATGTTTCTCATAAAAATATTTGTGAGATACACTCTCATATTTAATAATTAAATATTAAATTTTAAAATTTTAAAGTGTGCTTTCTTTTGATATGTTAATAATGTTTGCCAACTTATGATAATTATTGATAATTTGAGAATGTTTTTAAAAGAAAAAATCTCAAAAATCTCCAACTTTACTCGATAAGTAATTTTTTCATCTGTAAACAATTGCCAGGTTGGGCCAAGGTGGTTGTGTTAATATGTAAACACTAATTTTTGTATTTAAAACAATTCTTTTCCCCAGATTTCTTGAAATATGCTGTACTTAGTAGTAATTTTTTTTTTTTTTTTTTTTTTTTTTTAAATTAGGGTTCTAATAAAAAAGGAAAGTCATTTGTATTATTTGTGTGATGTATCAAAGAAAATACTTGGCTAAATTTTAATGAAACATTTGAAAGAATATTCAGTAGTATTTATCAGACAATGCTCAACAATATCAAAAATGAATCCCTGACTCTGGTTCCTGTGAATATTTAGTAAGTCTAGAAGCTGTTCTGTATTTTGCTAGAAAAGATGAATTTTATTTCTTTTCTTAATAAAGTTCTTTATCTGTCTGCCTTCTCCCTCCGTTCCCAAAAGAGTGTGCACATGGCTTCTTTTTTATTTCAATATCAAATTCAGGCAATTTAGAGTATATACTTTCTTAATTCTATAATTTTTTTTAATAACCCCTTTCCACCGGAAAAATCTCAAGATAATGTTTGTTCATCTCGTATTAATTCTTACTGCATTTTGTACCATGCATTTATTAGATTTTCTGCGAAATAAAGCAACAGTAATCTATTATTTCCAGGCATATAGTATTTTGCTAATACTTAGGAGGGCCCACCAGCAGCCAAGCAGTAAATTTGCTGAACACTGATAATTCAATTTAGGATTTGATCCTCGGTGAATGGAATGACTGCATGGACATTTTTGTGGTTTCCCATGTGTAATGCATATACAAGCCATTTTCCCTCAGAATTTCTTCCACAAAGGCATCCCTCCTTTTAGATAGATAGCACTTGAGTCTTTATCATAATCAAATAAACCAAACCAGTGCTTTGAAAGTATTCAAATTCTAACACAATGAAGCTGTAGTTGATGGAAGGTACACAAATGGAATATAATGTCGGTTATAGTTGATAAAAGGTTAGAATAAGAGCTGGTAATTAATTCACTAACCTTCTAATTCAGCAGAGCTCGTATGGAGTGAGAAGCTGTAGAGAATAATAATTTGGTATGATTCTGAATGCAGTTGCTAAACAGTACATCAAAAATCAAGATCTCTTTCATCAATTTGCTGACATTGAAAATATTTCATCACCAAAAGCATAAACTGATTTTTTGCAATGACTGAATATTCTTTCATATATCTTTCAATTCATAGACCAATGATTTAGAACTTTGATTAGCTCTGATCCCAGAATTTTAATTGTGCATTTATAAAATAGCAGGAAATCTGTTTAGTTATAACTTTAAAATGTACAATAAGTACATAATTATAAATATTTTTGAGACTGAACTGTAATGTTACACATTTGAGACAACATTATGCAGTTGAATGCAAACATTAAACAGTTAGATACCCAAAATATAATCTTAATTGATAGTCAGCTTTGTAAAAACATTTATTTTCAATTAAAAATTTGTCACTATTCTAAGATCTCATAAATTAATGTTTAAATGATTTTTTTCAAAGGTGTGAAATGGATATTTCTATATTACTGGAATTAAATTTAAATACTGTTCAACTAATACTACTGTTGTTGCATAAAACCATTTTGACTCGAAATCCAACTTCCTTTAATATCCAATTTATTAACTGCTGCTTACTTAGAACGGAAATTTCTCGATGCACAACGTACCAAAACAAAACAGATATATCAACAATATTGCTATTCAAGAGCAACTTAATTCGAGATATAAGGCAATAATAAATAGGTGACACTTTTAATCACATTAATAACACAACATTCTCCCACCTTTTGATAAATGATATTATATCAAAATTATATTATAAAATTACAAAATCGAAGTTAAAATTCATAGTCCTTGAATTTAGTAGGTGTTTTAATGTTCCGATCACCTCTGATGATTTTCTACTTAAGAACTCCATAAACGCCTACTGAATTCAAGGACTTAACTGAGATTTTATAGTATAATTTTTATATAATATCATTTATCAAAAGGTGGGAGAATGTTGCATTTTATTGTGATTAAAAGCACCACCTCTTTATTATCATTTTATATCTTGAAATAAGTTGCTCTTGAATGGCAACATTGTTGATATATCTGTTTTGTTTTGTTTTTTCTCCACCGACATTACAAAATTAGATATCTTCATATTAATCCCAAAATTGACCCAAGACGGGGATTGGTTCAAATAAAATTCCTGGCTTGTTACATTTGGTACTCTTTAACAAGTTTATGCATATCTTCCTCTGAGTCGACTGGAGTGATGCAGTTATCAACATAAAATGATTTTCTTAATTTTTCAGCAATATCTTTAGCTTCATGTTTAACATTCTCAAGATGATATTTGATAACAGCTCCAACAATGAAAGGTCTGCAGGTTACTCCGAAAACTACTCATTTATGTCTAAAAACTTGTAGCTTTTTATTTTTGACGTCTTCCCGCCAGCGAAAACGGGAAATAATCTCTGTCTTCCTTACAAGTAGATATTTGCAAGAATGCAATTTTTTATCTCAGCAATCAATCCTATTTTCTTTTCTCTGAACTTAATAATTACTTCAGGTATTAATTCACTGGTATTTGCTCATTTTTCTAAACAGTCATTTAAAAAAGGGCTACCTTTGTGTTTACTCGAGGCATCGAAGATTGGTCTAAATTTTTGTTTTGAATTTTCTTTAAACACTCCATGGTGAGGAAAATAATATGAGCAAACTGAAAGTTCTTCAGACTTTTCCATAATGTTATCTTCAAGCCATTGCATGAAAATAGAGTTGTAAGCATCGTAATTGCCATCTGAAATCAATTTTGATGCAAGTTTATTTAATCTTAGTAATCTTAGTAAATAGTAAGTTTTAATTCTAACTTACCTACTATATGAGTGTTGGGGTTTGCAAACATGTTTAAAAAGAGAAGTAAGTGTGTTCTTCAAATTAATTATATAGATGGTGCTTATGTAGGTAAAGTTGAGTGTAAAGCTGCTATCTTTGTTATATTAAAAATTTATTGCAAACATTAGTATTAAAAAATATTAAAAAATCTAGAAAAAATTAAATAAAAAATTAAAAATCCTAAAGGAATGTAATTATTAATTATTTAGCGAGTTAAGCCAATCAAGTGATGTAAGTGTTTGAAGTAAAATAAAGTTAAGCAGTATTGTGAATTAAAAAATGTAAACTGTTTGTATTGTAAAATGTGCGTTCTGTTGAAAAATTGTGTAAATATTGTAAATAACATTAAGTGAAAAATTTTTTTGTGTGAAAATTGCAAATAATTAAAGTAATTAAATAAAACTGAAATGTTTTAAAATTTAAGTTTTAAAGTAAAATTAAAAATGTCTAAAATTTTCCAAAATTTTTTTAAACGAAGTCCTTAAAAAAACCTCTATAAAATTCCCAGAAATTTCACAAAAATTTCTTAAGGAAGTTAATTAAAAGTTATATTTAATGAAAGAAAATATTAAAAGTTTAATGAACTTGATTTCAATTGGTAAATTAAAACTTAACTAAATACTGGCTAAAGTATGGAAAATTAGAAGAAGATTAAAATCTTCACTCAATTCGGGCTATAATTGAGACTATTGAAAAAAGTTTGCCCTTTATTAGTAAAAGGAAAGAATCCAGTATTGATTAAATATACATATTTACAAATTTATTTACAATAAAAATTTACAAGATTTTTCTCTACTCTTCTATATCCTTCATTACCCTCCAGCTAAAGTTTAAGGTAATGTTATCATATCAAAAAGAGCCAAAAAATTATAAAGTCAATGCCTGCCATTTTAATATATAAATTAATAAATTTTTGTGGTACTTGGTTATCAACTTGAACATTAATTAGCTTTATTATTTCTTCCTTTAAATCGTCTATTTCAGTACATATATTTTTTATTCTGATTATTTGGCTATGAAACGCGTTTTCTATTACTTTTCTAGAGATATTAGAGTTCCAATTAATTAGTTTAATAGTATGAAAATGGAAATTCCTTCTTTTATCAAATAATTTAATTTTGCTGTGTTTAATAATTTGCAGGTCTAGGTATTCAATAGTATCTTGATTCGTATTTGTTTTATTAAGTGTTAAACTATTTGGGTAAATTTTGAATTGCTCAAAAGTAGAATTATTATTGAAAGTTATAATATCATCTATGTATTTAAAAGTATGAGCAAATAGCTTTAATTCATTTTTATTTAAACTTAGTTGAAATTTATATTCAAAAGTAAAAAGAAATAGGTTACAAATTTATGTAGAACTGTTTGCTCTCATAGGAATTCCTCTAACTTGCTGAAAGATCTTATTATTCAATTTAATGTAGTTATTAAATAAAGCACAATTCAGATAAGTATTCCATCTTTCAATACAAAGGATGTCAAGTATGTCAGGAAAAAGTTGTGGGAGTTGCATTAAACTAGTAAAAATTTCTTCTAATGGTAGAGAAGTATAAAGGTTTTCAAAGTCATAGCAGTTGATGTTCCTGATCGTTAAACTTTTAAAACTGCTGAGAACTGGAGCATTATTATAAATAATCCAACTATAATTGTGTTGTTTGTTAACGAGTTGTTGGATTAAATTACAGATTTTTTTAAGTATAATTGCAAATATGTAATGTATATTCTTTTTATAATTATTTGTACCATTAGCAATAAATCTAAATTTGAGTGGTGATTTATGAAGTTTTGGAAGAGCATATAGATTTGCTAATCTATTGTGCTAGATGGTTGTGAAATTTGCAGTTTCTTTTGAAATGCTTTTAGCTTTTTTGCAATAACATTTTCTTGTAGATTGGTGAGTTTGTAAGTAATGGCATTATTTAGTTTAGTATTAATTAATGAGACATAAAAAAATTTTCATATTATGCTAAAATTATTATTGGCTTTGTCAATTTTGGTAATTATGAACTTTTGTTTTAAATCCTGTAAATGAGGAATGAGAATATTTCACTGTAAATTGCTATTAAATTCAATTCTTTGAATTCTTTGCTTGAGTTCTTCTAATACTGCATGTTTCCAAGCCATAAAGGTAGAATTCGGAATATTTAATTTGAAACTAGTTTTAACTATAAATTCGTCTATATTTTTTACGAAACTTTTAAAACTGTGATGTTTGTTAATATTTAGTACTGGTCTAAATTTGGTACTTTTTTCTATTAAAATTCTTAAATGTTGGTTTTGAACTATTGTTAAATTGCCTGTAATAATATGTTGATGAAATTTATCTATGAAATCTTTGTATTGAAGCTCTTTGCAGTATCAATGGCCCTCAGAAGCTAATTCATGGTGGTTAATTAACAATTTACTAAGAGGTATTTAATACTTGAAAGCTGATGAGATCTGTACTTTAGTAGTTGGAAAAAGTTGTTGACTTTTTCTGAAAATTTTGCTAAACTGAATATGATCATAGTTAGGATGAAGGAAATTGATTTTGCAGTAATATTTATTGTATTTGTTATTTGTAGAGAACTTATAATTGCAAAAGTCAATAATAAGGTCTTTGATAATATTGTGCCTTGTAAAATGCTGTTTTACAAATTTTATAAGTAATTTTAAGAAATTGTGCTTACAAGTATGCAACCAAGTAATTATATTTTTAGTGAAATTACCAGTAAGAAAGTAATTATTAATATTATCGTTTAACTTTTTTGTATCTATTGTTGAAAGAAGTTTATTTTTTTTGTTTATTACCTGCTCTGGTTCCTCGTAATGTTTTTTTACTGAATAATTTAAAATGGCTGTAAGTTCGAATTTCAGAATTTACTTTAATGTGTTGGTTGAATGTATTGAGTCCATAAGGGTAAAGTGTTTTGAATTTAAGCATGTAGAGTGACTCTTGAAGTAATCTAACTTTGTATTCAGGCACAATGTCCAAAATTTGAATATTAATTTTTTTGAAATCATGTATTTGAAAATGTTCTAATTCAGCTATATTAAGTGTGTTAAAATTAAAAGTTTCAAATTTTTTAATGTGTGATCTGTGGTTGTTAATTCTAATATTAAGACTATTTTTGGTTTGTCCAACATATTTAAGATTTCATATGCTAATTTTCAAATGATTAAGTTTTCAAACCATGAAACTTTTGATTTGGTGAAAATAATCTGTGAAATTTTAAATGAATATCTTAAACATTGTGGAGAACCAATAAAATTATTGCTATGTTATTTACTTTTATTAGCTCAATTAAAGCAACTAAAAATAACACAAGAATATAAGGAATTTTATCTGTCATATTTAATTATTTTTATTGCAAAGCCATTCTCATCTATAGAGAGATCTATGTTAAAACATTATTCTTTTGTGTTATACTGGTAAAAATAATTAAATTTAAAAATCAATGGAATGCAGTTAAAATGTAGTTTGCTAGCACACTGAATAAACACTCTAAGTCACTTTTGATTTTATTCATCTTACAAAATATGTTCAAATATACCCATATCTTTTTTATTGATCTGAAATTTTCTGTTTACATGCATGCCAAATATATTTTCTGCAGTGTGACTCAGAAAGAAATTACAGAATCTTTTTGTTTTCAAGACCTTGTTTTGATAGTTTATATTAAAGAAAAAAAATAATATTTTCAATTTAAATGTTAAATTTATAGTTTGCTTTTTAATAATTACTTGGAATTAGCATTTCTTATTCACAAATGTCTTATTGTTTTGGAAATTTAACTAGTAATTACACAGTAACAGTTGTTATTAAAATCTGAGCTCAAACTTAGCTGTTCCATCCTATATAACAATTTCTTTTATAATTATTGTAGTTATTTTAGTATATTTTATTGTTCCATGATACATAAAAATTATTTTCTGATATTTTTTAATGTGTATCTTAGTATATTCTATCTTTTACAGGCAGTTGACTTTCTGGAAACTGATATTTCATTAATTTTTGATCCTGAGAATGTTTCTAACAGTATTATTAAATACAAAAGTTTAACTGAAACAGAGCAACAAAAGGAAACATTTGCATCACCTAAAGGGGCAAGTCCCAAAATTATCAAAAATCTTTGCTGTTGCCATCCCGTAATAAATGATGTATCATATCATGATGTTCAGTTACATAGATATTTTCCTGAAATGCATATTGAGCCTCTAGGTGAAAGGCAAAATTCAGCTGTTTCTCCTATTCGACATTTTAAAAAAGGACCTAAAACTGTATCTGTGCCTAATCGGAAAACTGGTACAGAAGTTGCGAAGCATTTTATTGAAGGTTTTGAATCTCTGTCACAAATGCAGAGCTCACAAAGTAGTTATCAATCTAAAGTATTCTTTGTGAATCATGGGCAAAATATACATACAAAAACTATGCATGGCAAAGAAAATAAATTTGGCAAGAATGCAAATTTTAAAGACATAAAAAATCCATCTGATTTTTGTTTCTGTGCTTGTAAGTTAGCTCATCTGACAGATGAAATTTATTTAAATGAGGGATGTGAAATCAATAAATGTGCCTCAAACTCCACTAATGCTAACTCTGAAGAAAATGTAAACTGTCCGTTTGTTCGCAATTCTAATGTATTTCCCTCTGAAGACCTTGTTAAGCTTTCAGAAAATGTGACTTGTTCAGATTTATCTGAGACAGGAATAAAAGCTCAATCTTTACAAGATTCTTATCCATCTATTAGTCCAAAAGCAAAAGTAAAGCAGAAATCTAGGAAAGTGAATGTCTCTAATGGAAGTATGGTTAAAACGCGTTCTCCTTCAAAAAAACATATCAGATCTACTAACCATTCTCAGAAACAGCCTTCAAAAAGAAAATTAATTTCTCCTAGCTGTCAGAAGAATGTAAGTTCTTCCAACACTAAAATTTATTCACACTGCATAGGGAATACAGCTGAATCCGCATGTGCTCCATTTGCTGATATTTGTGAATATCTTAAGAAACAAGATGAGAAACTGCATTTAATACAAGAGAAAATGTCTCTACTTCTTCAAGAACAAACTCAGACTAAACAAAAATGCGAAAAAGATCATGTGTCCAAGATTATTGGAGCAAAAGGTAAGCTTCCAGAATGTAAAAACGCAAAAGACATTGAAACAAATTCATATTTTCTGCAGTATATAAAAGAACAAAATAATAAAATTGAAAGTCTTCAAAATCAAATTAATTTGCTTCTAAGACAGAAATCTGAAAATCAGGAAACTGGTAGTCAGAATGACGCATCTTCAAAAGATTCAGTTGTAAAAATTGTGAGTGAAAGTGCACAGGTTTTATCTAGTGAAACTATTAATACCAAACCAAAGCAAGTTCAAACTAAAAAAACTCTTGAAGATTCTGAAGCTGATGATGCTTTTGTTCAGAAAACAACTGAAAATAAAGCATCATGTAGTATAAGTACAATGACTAGTTTTACATTTAATAATGATTTTAGACACATGGACAGTAAAAAATGTTTTGCTGTTATGACTGATTTTGTGCAATATCAGAAAGCTGCTTCAGTAAAAAATGTGCAATGTGCAGAAATGCATGAAGAATCTGCTGCTGTAAAAAAGGCAGTGGGAATAGGCATACATTCACAGGATGTTATTTCTCCTTGTAATGAGTTAAATAATTTGCCACTTTGCAAAAATATTCAAACAAAAAGCTCTTCTTATTCCAATTTAAGAAAATCTGATCACATTGATTCTCAAGAATCTCCTGGGTCTAATATCAGGTATGTGTATATTAATTTTTCCCTTGTGGACGATTATTATTAATAGAAATATATTAGGTACATTAGGTATTATTAAAAGATATATATTTAATGTATTTCTAGTGAGCAAGAAGATGGCAACCAGTTATGTGAATTCCATCCAATGGAAAAAAAAAAGAAAAAAAAGGTAATTTGATTTAAATAGGTTACTCTGTAATAAAATGAACATTCACTTGTGGTTGAAATCCTTTTTTCCCAAGTATTTTATGCCGAAATTAATTCTTTTATTACTGAATAACTCTTTATATATATATGTGCGTGTGATGTAGTTTTTGTGGAAGATGAAACCACCTCACTCTTTAGTGCTTTAATCATTGCCAAGAAGACTTGTGAAAATCACAACTAGCTTGATGGTTAAAACATCATTTTTATTTTGAACAGGAACAATTATTCAGAAGTACATGTTTGCTTAAACTAGTATCACATTAGGGATACTAAATGCATCCCACAATTTTGATATTAGCAATTTTTAGATTATAAAGACTTTTAGACTATAAAGAAAGAAAATGGAGTGAGAGATGTGGTTTACTCAAGGAGCAGCAGGTGAGAAAAGTGTAATGCATATTAGCTTTGATTATATTTACAGCCAGAAAGTCTTTGTGTTAATCCTTAGCAGCAACTGGGGTAAAGGTATTGCAGGGGGAATATGTAGCTATGAATTTTACAACATTTGCTAGCCAAAGGATGCCTCTCTCTTGGCTTCTTCTCTTCAGTATTAAATGTGTAATACATCAAAATCAATATTATAGGATGTAAATTGCCCCCATTGTGCTATGCCATTCCATAGAGTAATCAACAAGTAATAAAGATATGTTTGGATTATCAAGTGATTTTGTGATTCTTCAAAAGTTCTCAACATCTACTACGCCACCCAGATGATATAGTGGTTAGAGAAGCGTACTGCAATACCGAAAAGTCTGAGTTCGAATCTCAGAGAAGGCATGGATGTTTGTAAATGTATTGTGTCTTTGTGGTATGGGCACTCTAAATATAAGGTGAGCCAAAAGTTCTCTCATATAGTTTGTGGTAGGGGAGAGGAGTGGTAGTCCCTAGGACCATCTCCCAGGATGCTGTCTCTCAAAATTGGGGTGGAAGTAGAAGTTCTACCCCCTGAGGCTCTGGCAACCATTCTTCCATGAAATACATGAATAAGACTACAGCAACAACATCTACCATCTAATCGATGTTTTCAGTGCCCTCTAACCTCAGTCCACTTGCGAATATAGAATGTCAATGTTTCTTCTTTTAGGCAATTTAGAAATAAGGTTAATATTTTCTTTTCAGGAATTTTTTTAAAATAGTAATTTAACTATATTATTTGTTAAAATTGGAAGAATAAGTAGCAATGTAATATTTTATGTTGTTAACTCTTATTTGAGTTATTTATTATTATTTTCATCTTGTATTCCTTAATTTAAACTACACTTGAACTTTGCTAGTTATGATCTGTATCAGTTTTAAAGGGAAAAGTAATGCGTACTAGCTTCAGTCGTATTTATATCCGAAAAATCTTTGTGTTAATCCTGAGCAGCGAAATGGCTAAAAATAGCTTAGTGCAGAGTAATGTAACATGCTGCAGAGTGATGCAAAAAAGCATATCCTTGAAGCAGGGATGTATTTAACTAAATTATGAATTTAAAGGTCTATTACCAATTGGTTTCAATTAAGTTTGATAACAAAAAATCAAATTTTTGTTATCAAAATTTGTTTTATGTTTTGTATTTTACATATATGTAAACAAAACTTTCAATAACCTTCTAAATTCAATCCACTCACAACTGCAAAATAATATCTTCCCTAGAGTTGAGCACTCATCTAATACCAAATTTCTGCAATGAACTGAATTATCATCTCACATATATATATATATATATACACACACACACACACATCCATAGTATAAAGTCTGAGATTTGAAATTGTCAGCAGGACTTCATCAATTCTGGGTTTTAGATCATCAGTTTAAATCTAGTAAGATGACATATATAGATGTGGCAACATTAGAGCTTTAGACTAGAAGAGAAACACGCTAATGTGACAATCAAAATCGTAAAAAACAACCTTATATTTAGCGTAGGTATAGTTTCCAGATTTTCTCCTCTACTTGATAACAATATTCACACTGTAAAAAATTCTGTTGAAGTCATTGATAAACTTAAAAATATTTCCCCACTTCGTTCCATTATGGTTTCATTTGATGTCAAATCATTGTTTACTAATGTTCCGGTCGAAGGAGCACTAAATTGTCTTGAAACTAGGCTTCGGGAATTTCACTTCACACATACTGAAATTAATGAGTTGGTTTCGCTTACTAAAGTTTCTCTAAGTCAAACCCACTTTGTTTTCCAAAATGCATATTTTCGTCAAGTTGAAGGATTGGCTATGGGTAATCCTCTCAGTCCGGTACTTGCTGACATTTATATGCACTATTTTGAGATGAAATTATTTGATAAATTATCTTTTCGTCTTTGGATTCGGTATGTTGACGACACTTTCGCACTTTTTGACGGTTATAAAGAGGATTTATCCGAGATTCTATCTATTATGAATTCAATTGATCCAGCCATCCAATTCACTCTTGAAATTGAATCCAACACATTCCCTCCCCTTCCTCGATATTCTTATAATCCGCAATGAAACCGATTTTAGCACCACTGTGTACCGTAAACCCTTTGCAGTTTGTTTACCACCCCATGCCAAGTCATGCCACCCTGTTAAGCAAAAAATGGCTTCTTTTTACTATTATGTTTTCCGCGCACTAAAAGTTTGTTCCTCTGAATCTTTGCTTACCAATGAACTTAATTATTTGAGAGCAGTTGCGATTGACCGTGGATTTTTCTCCCGTGATTATTGATAAAGCCGTCAAAAAATTTTCAGATTCCCATCAAAGAAGACATTCCACTGTTAGAAATAATATCAATGACCTTGTCGTGCTTCCATTTTATCCTTCTGTTAGCTATAAAATTGCACGGATTCTCCAGAAATTCAATTTTCAAGTCGGTTTCTCCCCTATTAATAAAATTCACCCTTCGATTCTAAAAGATTGCGTTTCTGTCTTGAATTCTTGGGGAATTTATAGTATATCATGTCAGTGTGGTTTAAGATATATTGGCCAAACAAAAAGAGCGTTGAAATTTCGTATCAAGGAACATGAATCTTATGTCAAAAAAGGGGAAATTAACAAGTCTTCAATAGCGTATCATAGCTGGACTTTTAACCATAATTTTGATTTTGGGTCTGCAAAAATCATCCAAAAGGCTTCTTCCATAGGCGAATTGGATTTTCTTGAGGCTTTTCACATTCACAAAGATTTGAAGTCCAATCCAGTCCTTCCTAATGCCTTTAAAATTCTACTGTCTTAATTCAATTATTTTTGCCGATAGATGGCGTTACCTCCTCGCACCTGGTACTACCAGAGGGTATAAAAATCCGTACAGTGGTTGCTTTCCATTATTTGAAGTTCAGATTTTGAGCGTAATGTGCATTTGCCCTCGCTCCCTATTTTAACTTCGCTAATATTTCTTTATGCTTGATCAGACAGCCTGGCTCAGTAAAAGTAGGCGGCCAGTGCAACTCTGATTAAAAATCTAGTTATAACCACGTGCAGTGCAGATAAGCACCACGTGTTTCTGTGATTCCTATTTTCTTCTTTCTATGTATTTCTTTCTCCTGATGAGGAGGGACCTTTAGCTGCCCTCGAAATCGATTGAGTGTTTCATTATACCTACGCTAAATATAAGGTTGTTTTTTACGATTTTGATTAGAGCTTTACTTATTTGTTTAGGTCAAACACAAAGAAGTTCCCCACAACCACTACAGCTACGGTACGCCTGCTTCCTTTTATTGAGTATGATTATATTAACTATTCTTAAACTTTATGAGCAGATTTTTATTATTATTTAATTTATTTTCTTATATTTTTGGCTGATGATCTGGGGGTCTGGATATTGGAAATCTGGGTTTCGGACTTAGTATATATATAAAGTCCGAAACCCAGATTTCCATATATATTATCTAGTTTTTGTCTGGCTGCATACTTACTGACGTGAAATAAGCTGTGCTGTATGTTATAGCATACACATTTTATAATAATACACAAGAATTTTAGATTTTTGCTTTTCCACTTCTCTGAGATACTGTAATTTTCTTCAGCCTTATTTGCATGTCAGACAGAATTTTTTTGTATGAATTATTTTCTTCTTAAATGGTGTAGCTGAAATAGTTGTATAATTTTCTTTTCAATTGTTCTCATTTTCCATTTTTATTGATTTTGTTTAGTATTTAATATCTAGATCACTGTAACTTTTTGTAATTTATTTTAAGTAGTACATTTTTTTAAATTCATATTGAGATTTGAAAGGATAGTTCAAATTGTGGAAGGTTAAAATTTCTAATAAAATGTTAGAATAAGCCTAACAACTGTTTATATACATCCAATCATTTACTGAAAATGAAAACTTTTTCTAAAAAGCAAAACTTAGAAATTTATCCTGGTATGCTACTGCTTTCATGATATACAACGCACTGGCTTATTATTTTATAAGAAAAAACACTATTTGTATCTTATCCACTATTGAAAGGTGCCAAAAGTTATTGCTTTCAAATAAATGTTTGTCTGTCTATTGCATCCTTGTCTTTTCACCTAGCATCTGCTGACTTTTCTATTAACTTGGACTTTTTACTTTTTCATGGATAAAGGATTTGGACTCTTTTTAGAAATAACAAGATAGAAACTGTATGCATTTTTCAGAATCATGGTGTGTAGCCAGAAATTTGGGAGTATTCTAAATCATATATCATTAAAGAAAACAAATAGTGGAAGTGCAGTACTGAAAAAGAGTTATAAATGGTAGCAAAATTATAGGAAGTATATCTTTTGGCCAGTTTTAGCTAATATGTTTACTAATTTGTTGTTTTGAAAATCTAGTCAAAAATCATAATATGTCTATAGCAAAGTATGCTATTTGCATGTATCCATTTATGAGATGTTAGTCTCAACACTGTTTTGATTAGTATCAAGTCAAATTCCTAAAATTTTCTATGCTAATTATTAAATACCGTATTTGACGGCATATAAAACACACTGGCATATAAGACACACCTTTATTTAGAAGGACGCACACAAGGAAAAAATGTTTCAATAGTCTGCATGACAGCACAGTACCACAATAACTTAAAATGTGGTTTCTTTTAGCTCTCACGTTTTGTAAAAGCCAAATAAACAATCATTGAATTCAAGTACCAAACATATTTTTATTAAGGAAAATTAGCAAATGGAAAGCTATTTTGAACATGATATGTAAATTTCAGTAATGAATAAATGAATGAACGGCAAGCAATCAAACATAATACGAAATAAAGCAGAACCAACAAAAAACGCAGATTCAAGAAAAATGTTGCCTATCATGAAATTAGACTTTAATCACTTTCAAAACCATAAAAATCCTTTTCACTATCATCATCATCATCGAAAAGAATATCTTCATCACTACTTTTCCGTCATCGCTAGTATCACCTTCTTCGAATAGTGTGTCATCTTCTATTCCGTCAAGAGCATTACTGATTCCGCACTTCTTAAAGGACTTAACAATTACTTCAGCCTTTATGTCCTCCCAAGATCTTTTTACCCACTTGCACATTTGTGAAATAGAGGGCCGCTTCATTCTACCTGAGGGTGTCAGGGCATGATGTGGCTCTCCTATCCACTTGTTCCATCATTCTCGCAATTTTCCTTAAATGGTTTATTCACCGATACATCTAAAGGCTGCAATTGGCTAGTTAGTCTACCAGGAATGACAGCTATCTGGGTTTTTAATTCTCTTGCTTTATTCTTTATGGTTTCAGGTCTATGGGCGCTAAACTGATCCAAAACCAAAAGAGAGGGTTTTCTTAGGTCGCCTCGCCCATTCGTTCTGTAACCACAGTTTCATTCCAGCTTCGTCCATCCAGCCTTTCGGATGAACATGAACAATTACAGCCGTTGGAAGTTTTTCTTTTAAATATGAAAAACGGCGGTAGTTTTGTGCCATCAGCACAACATGTTAGAACTACCGTATATCGGGTTTTTTTCATGACCTGTGGTTTTTATGGTTATTGATTTAGATCCTTTAATACTCACAGTCTTGTTGAATGGTAAATTAAATGTGAGTGGAATTTCATCCATATTTCCTATTTGACCGAGCTCGAAAAAAGTTTTCTTGCGTGCATTTATAACAAACCTAGGAAATGCTTTCTTCATAATCTGCTGGCATTGTCTGTGCAATAGTTGTTTTTGTGCGCATTGATAAGCCTTGCCTTTTCATGAACCTGTAGCACCAGCCCTCAGACCCTGAAAAGTTCTGATTCCCATGTTTTTCTAAAAATCCTTTGGCCTCATTGATTATCATTTTGGTTGAAACACTTATCCAAGATTTTCTCTTATCTATCACCCACATTTTTACGGCATTTTCAAGTTCAGGATAAGATTTAGCAGGGCATCAAATGTTATGTTTTTGTTTTTTAGCAGTCTTCAGTTGATCTTCCTGCAATCACCAAGTACATATGTATCATTTTTTCGGTAGGTGGTGGACCGAAATGCCTTGCTGCTGCTCTGTTTCCATGCACTTTGGCGTAGTTTAACACTCCTAGTTTATACTGAATTGTATAGCTTAATCTCTTGTTTCCTGTAGTCATATTTTCCAGGGTATATTTTTTAAACAAATAGTTTTAAGCATCGATACCGACACGTTTGTACAGAGTAGCACCAATACCGACATGTGTGTTGGCTGAGTCAAAGAAAGTCTATGTAAAGAAAAAAAGGCTCCATAGACGTAATGTGACCGTCGAACCTGTTCGAACTTCAACATCAGCTTCGAACTTTGGCGCTTTTTGGCGACAGATATTTCACGCATGCACAGAATAATTATGGCAGATGTAGAAAAATTATGTGTGTCTAGACCTTTATCTGGGCTAAAATAGCATTCAGTATTGAAAGTTAACCCGCGTCCTTCACGTATAAGATGCAGGTAACTTTTTTGAGACCAAATTTAGGGAAAAAAGTGTGTCTTATATGCCATCAAATATGGTAATTTATAATGTGAAATATCAAAATAAATTATGTTAATTTAATTAGTAAATGTATTTTTAATGATTTTCTTCAGTATAGGAACAAAGTCTTGAAGCCATTTGCACTATATGAACATATTTTGGTGAGATATATTAATATTATTTTCTATTTTCATATGTTAATGCTTTTTTAAGTATATGATAATAGTCTTAAGTTTTTGTATATGAAGTAATTTCTGTATGAAATACAGGGAATTAATTCCAAATAGCAGGCATATCGTAGTTAAATATAATTTATATATTACACATTGGTCAGAACACTGCGTTCAAGTATTTTAGCCACAGACTTAGGCATGTAGTGGGAGTTTTTGTATGAATTTTGCAGGAGTTTGGTCATCCAGTAAAATTGCAATAAATCAATAGCTACTTCATTTTTCTCTCTTTTCTTTTACTTCAAAACTTTTTTTTTTATTTTACACTTAAATATATGCTGTATGATTATTAGTACAAAGGGGAAATTTGCCCAGAAATACTATTAATTTTGTTTTGGCATTTTGTGTTTGCATTTATAAAACAAGTTCAGTAGTAGATAACAAACAAAGTGGAAAGTCGAAATTTCTAACACTTTCTGAAACTATCTAGTATTTATTATGCAGTATGTATTGAAAATTCACACCTGTCATTTAGAAATTTGTAGGTAATTATGTGATGCTTATTATGTACTTTTTTACATTTGGTTAATATGCAGTTTTGCTATGTGAGAAATAGTATTTTAAAGTTTGAAAGATGATAATATCATCTTCAGCATAGAAAAGGAAACAAGGCAATTTTTAGAGGAATATAATTATGAAAAAAAAAATGAATTTTTAGTCCAAAGGGGCTTTGTCCCTGAAGGACTATTGTTTTCATTTTGTGATTTTGTGTTGGTTCACTATAAATGTCCGTTTCACTCTTCAGATTGTTGCCACCAGAGCCCTGTATTATATTTAAAGAAATTAAATAATGAAGAATCTGCATAAGTGTATGTATGTTTCTCGCATTGTGATAAAACAATGGTTACCTAGAGCCAAAAAAAAAAAACATTTTTATCTCCAGCGAGAGACTGTGTGTCGGAAATTCTAAAGATATGCTGATTTTAAAATTATTTTGTGATATTGCTGTTGAACTGAATTTTATGGTTTAAGTGCGAAGAACATGATATTTAATAAATAAAGGTAACACATAAAATGTTAAAAAAACGCCCCTTTGGGCATAATGTAAAATCTGAAAACTTTCAGATCTTTTTTTATTTGTTTGTTTATTTATTTACTTAAGACATCTTTTTGAATAAGTAAATACAGAATAGTAAACTAAACATGAAAGGAGAATAAAACAGTTTTTAATTTTACTATTTATTCAAAGTATTTGTTCATAACAAGTGCAAAAAGCAATGATAAGACTATTATTTCTTCACAGTTTGATATCATTCAAAGCATTTTCCTGTGAAGTGGAACACAGTAGAAGTTATATGTGAAACATGTTTCACTCCATACTTTTTTCACTGAGCACACATGACATGGTCTTTCCGGATTTTTTTTTTCGTTCCCCATACCAACAATTTTCTCTAATACATATTTGCTCATATTCATGAATAAGCTGCAGGGTGTCAGATTTTGATAGCCTTTGCACAGCAGACATGAATGGCTCTGGTTTTTGGGTGTTAGTTGTAAGTGGTTCATCAGTAACCCAATACTACGCGATATTATGCAAAAAGTTCTTACATTTTATTTTTTGATACTTTGTAGCGTTATATATTACATATAAATTGAAAAACTCATAAATCACCATATAAACAACTAAGCACTTTGTCCACTTTTACTCTTTACATTAGGTATGCACAACCTTTTTAGCAGAAGGGCGGCTAACAGAAACGACATGGTTGCCGAGGGCCAATAGCGTATGAAAAAAAAAACTCGGGTAGGGGGGTTCAATGCAATAAGTCGCTTAATTTGTAATTTAGACATGTATTATATCAAATTTAAATTGATTTGGAGACCATTATATATGTAAGCATAGAGGGATGGGTTTTGCCTTGCATGTGCTACTGGGGCCAAAACACCCAGTTCAGCTTGAAAAATGCTTGTGCATGATAATTTAATATGCTTGTTCAGTTTATGCTTGTGCGGGATAATTTAATACTTGTATACAAATATTTTAATAAAAATGTGTACAAGTTAGCCATACTTAAATACATTAGTGTGATGGTTGAGACTGAATTTTTTGATATTCTTAAGATAGATTGCAAGGGTTGATCTGTCAGTTTATTTCTTAATTTTGACTTATTTAGATTCATAAAAAAATATTTTTGTTCACATATATAAGTACTACCCTCAACATGGTAACACATCTGCTTGCATTATGTTTTAAGCACAAAAATTCGGCAGCTATTCTGTGAAAATCCAGAATATCTACATCACAGAATCTAGATTTGTATAAGTCAGAAGTTTGTAAATTGATAAGTTCTAGTTGAACATCTTCTGGAGCTCCTGACTGCAGCAGAAAATGGATCCCCGAACAGTTTAATTTTAGCCATCTCAAAGTCTGCAAATTGCTTTTCAAAAAAATAGGCTACCTCTTTATATGATCTGAATAATCCAGTTATATCAGAAAATTTTCTTTGAGTTTCTTCAGGTAAGGAAAATTGACAAAATTTTGACAGCCAAGCTGCTTTGAGAGCAGCTGGAATTTTAGTTTGAAAGCAGATACTGCATTGGGCAGGTGATTGATGAATTAGTTTTTTCCCATCAATTTTTTGTTTAGGTCATTCAGATGGGCTGTCATATCAACTAAAACTGCTAACTCACACTTGAAAGATGGTTCCTTTAACATCCTAGTTTGCCTGTCATTTTTTTCAAAGAATGGTATTATTTCATCAATCAAATCAGCAAACTTTTTCAAAGTCTCTCCACGTCTCAACCATCATACTTCAGAGTAATACAGTACAAAGTCCGAAATCCAGACGTCCATTATCCGGAATGATCTAAAATCCGGACCTTAAAACACCAACAAAATTTTTTTCATAGGCTTTAATCATGCGCATTTAATTTCCCCCTCCACGCACATCTGGAGAGTCACGATTCTTAAACATCTTGAGAGTTCCGATTCTTAATTTCACTTCGACGCTAAATAAAATACCTTGTTATTGAAGAAACAATCATTTTAGCATAAATTTGTACAATCAGTAATTTGGCTCCGTTGCTGCGTATTTGCCTGGCACCCATCTCAAACCGAAACATTCCACATAGATACATTGTTGATCTGACACGCCAACCTGGCGAATCCTTATTTATTATACTTTCCTTTCATTACCGCATGTTTATCAAAACATGACAACTTGAGTAATGACTCATGTAGCGATACCTAAAAAATTTTTTTACGTTAGTATTTGAATCATAAAGAAGTGTGGTAACCTTTTATGTTGACATTACGCTTGGCAATGATTACAGATTTCAGTTGCACTAAAAAATGTTGACGAAGAATAATTTACCAAAAACTTATTTCCATATGCTAAAAATAGATTTTGATGATACTCATAGACCCAAAGATTACATTTAAATCATAAATACTTCATTATTTCATAAATTGCAATTTCATATTTTTAATTTTATAATTTCTACATGCCATCTTACTAGATTTAAACTGATGATCTATTATCTGGAAAAATCCCAAATCCAGAATCACTGAAGTTCCAACGAGTCTGGATTTTGGACTCTGTCCTGTATATGAGATCACTATGTGGCACATCTGTGTGTTTTAGGATTTCCTTAAATTCCCTGTGGTTTAAACCATGTGAGTGAATAAAATTGATTGTATCACTGACTACTTTCATTAGGTGGTCAAATCGTAGTTCTTTCTCACATAGCTATTCTTGGTGTATGCTACAATGATACCCAAGCAAATCTTTTCCTCTATCATCCAAATGATTTCTCAGTAGACTCACTATGCCATTCTGAATTCCAATCGTGACTGGAGCTTAATCAGTAGTGATACTAACAAGGTTGTCAATATCAAAATTATGTGCAGAACACAAATTTAAAACTGAGGATAAAATATCAGTTTTAATTGTTCACCCCTTCATTGAAATCATTTCAATAAGTTCTTCAATTACTTCAAAATTTTCAGAAATTCCTCTGACAAACAAAAAAAGCTGAGCTGTTGAAATAATATCTATTGACTCATCAGCTGCTAGAGAAAAGAACTATCATTCTGCTGAGATTCTCATTTTTAAATTTCCGCGTAGCTTCAGGGCATACTTTCTCGGAAGCCAACAATATGCATTCCTTTCCAAAATCGCCATCAGTAAATGGGCGGCCACTTTTAGTAATTAAAGCTGCAATTCCCAAACTAACTTCAACACAGTTATCTAACTGTGAAGATGCCTTTGTAAATACATTCCTTTGAGCAACAAGAGGATGACGAAGATATTCGATTTTATGATTTCGATCCTCTCCCTCAAGCTTTGAAAATGTTTCGTGTCGTAGTGTCGCTTAATGTTATACTTCTTGCAAACACTAATAGTAAAATTACATATCAAGCATGTAATTCTATTATTTTGCTCCACAAAAAAGTATTTCGAAGTCCAGGCCTCCGAAAATTTCCTGTTATCGTCCGCTAACTTTCCTTTTTGTTTTGCATCCATTCATCATGGCAACTATCAAAACCACGGGGAACAAAAATTCTATGTTGGTTCCACTTTCAAAATAATATTTAAACAAAAAAGTGACATATTCAAAACATGAAACTTCTTAGTGGTCTCGAAAAGAAAAATAAACACACACATGATAAAACAATGTATAGTCATGAAGCCAAAAGTGCAACGATGTCAAGCAAATGAATACACTGCTTCGGATTCGAGCAAATACTTTTTTCTTCCACTTTACTAGCACATGCATGCAAACACGCGCATGCTACGTCATACCACAGACTCTTTCTCAATCTTCTACAGATTTTGGTCCTACAGGCTAGGAGCAATTTTCGTGTTCAAGCAGCAGATACTTGCTTTCGTTGAAACTTAGAACTTGGTTCAGTGCCAAATCTCTCTTCGAGATAACAGAATAGAATGAGTAATGAAAGGGGGAGTGGTGAAATTTTTTTTTGCTCGCAA